TTATGTTTGTGAGACGCATACGCAGACGGAAGTGGGCGCGGGGATAAGCGAGGAAAATACTCAAGCTACTCAGAACTGCGAACTATTGTCAGAGAGGATGCTATTTTGCCTCGACCGGGCACACCGCCGGGACAAGGACACCGCCAGGACAAGACCCAAACTACTGGGATGTCCCGGCCATTCCGGGAACGGTTGGCAACTATGTATCTCCTTGCTGCAGCATCGTGCTGGGATGTGTTGAACAGTCGGTGACAAACAGTCCGCAGTGCCCACACCGCCATGGTTCCTAACGATGCAACAGTGCGCTCAAAGCTTCCATTTATCAGCAATCTAGTAAATGCTTTGGTGAGCCATTCATGAAGAAGATTCAGCTTTTCGGGCTATTAGAGCTTGACTAAAAACTGGCAGTAGTAACTGAACCTTGATACTATACTGAAAGCTATTTTTTCTTCTCGGCCAGACCTGAGAACAAAAATTCTTCCTCGTTGGATCTAGCTAGCTTGGTAATAGGTGCATGCGCACATTCCCCCCATGAGGTCGCAGACTTTGCATCATCATTATCGCTACTTAGACAGGGGTTGTCGTGGGCCCCATGTTCCTCGTTCGTCCTATCACGGATATTCAACAAAGTGCCGAGATGTTTTGCACAGGGGAGTCACAGAAATCAAATATCTAGTAGTTGGCTTATTAGCCACGTACGCTACCGTTTAAGCCAAAGAGACGATTCTCAGAGAGAACACTTCATCTTTTTCAAGAACATGCATCCAAGAGCACCCCAAGGGTCACCAGCTAGACCTATGTGTTCAAAGATGGTAATAAAGAGTTAGCTGCAACGGACTTTTGTGTTGGATATCTATGTATACGACAGATTCCAGGCTGTGCTACTCGTTTTGCAGCACACTACACATCTAACATTATCACTCCGTAATAGCACTGGTTCTAGCGAGGTTTGCACTTAGTGCTTTCATTACGCATGCAGTGCAATAATCAAACAAGCACTTAAAACCGGTCATGGAGCTTAGAGAGTAATATGTCCTTCTCCTACCAGCACAACAGCTGTGAAACTTTTTCTGTAGTTTGTGATGGTAGAGGTTCTATCAGATCTTCAGTTGGAGTTAATTCTCGATGTTTCTGAAAAGTGCCTTTGTTTGGATGGTCGGAGGTTTTGACCGAGGTGATAGGGACATTACCTGTGTGTGGATCTGGCCAGGAATCCTGTGCTGTATGCATAAGAAATCCCAGCAAAGCATAAAGCATAAGAGATGCACAGAAAATGACTGGAAAGCACTCAACCTCATTACAGTGCACTTTCTCAAATACGTAGACCGATGTATATTACTTACTCATAGCCCTGGGTGAGCCAAACAGTACATGTACATGAGATAGAGTGTCTGTCTACCTCCAGAAGGAAACACCTTCTAAATAATGAAAAGCACTAAAGTTCAAACTCCTCGGCGAACTGCGCATGAGCGGACGCTGGGCTGGGCCCATTAGTATGCGTTTTTTACTTGTGGTCTCCTGCTAGTAGCTCGTACAGTAGTAGATCAGCATGCACGAGTCGCAGTACAACGGCCCTTCGTTCAATTTGCGTCTTGTGCCTCCGAGGATACCAGAGCAGAGGGTCAGGTCGAGTGTAAGCAAGTGATATCTAGCATTTCGCTATGTTCACCGTTGGTTGTTCACTGCCATAGAACTTTTAGAACGCCGTCGTCTACGAAATCACATCAAGCCAGTGTAGAAATGAACCTGTTGGTATCGGCTATTTTGTTGTCTTGTTGCACGTGGTGGCAGAAAATATGTAACAAACAGACAGACGGATGGACGGAATGACAAACCAAGTACTGTAACCCTTGCTGCACATGCACACCGAGGGTTAACTACCCAATCTGCGACAGTTTATAACAAGCTACAACTATACACAATGTATCATACTTCAGGCTCATAATTACCTGTATTCCCACTACAAGAGGTCTTTTGGGTCAATCAAAACAGACAATAGAGTCTTGCATGCTACAAATACAACAAAACTACAGTTTCAGTAGTCATGTTCGGTTTAGCACAAACTTGGAGACTGCTCTTTGAACATGAATGCGATATTATATGCACATAAAAAGAGCATGTTAATCTCTAGTAAGAGGTAAGGAGCTAGAACGACGTAATAATGTTGGTTTATGTAGTGCAAGTGCAGATCTTTGATGTTTCTGTAGCTAGTAGCCGTAGCTTATCTATCAGCAGTAAATTCTTGCCCGTGTTTGATAACCAGCAGCTGACTTACAAGTAGGGATATATATATATTGGCAGAAAATTCCCCACGAGGAGCTTTACATTATAATACTGTGCTTGTGCAACGTGGGAAAGGCTGACGTTTTATCTATAGACAGTCTCCTGTACGCACGTCAGGCATTGTGCAGCATGCGTAGTGTGGAGAGATTCCTCCAATTTGACTCTTCCTAGTCCACACACAGTGTTAGTTGAGTTGGGCCAGAACGACTTTGTCTCGATCTCTTTGTCACGCTAGCTGTGCAGTAACATTTCTTAACGTTACACTGACACACATGATGAATAATTTTGCCCGTGGGCGGCAGAGAAAAATTTGCATTTCTAAAGCGTGGCACATATCTGAGATGCGATGCAGAATTGGTTGCCTAGCGGTAAGGTGCTCAGCAACTTGGAGTAATCTGTGTACTCAGTGCCTCGTGAGCATGAAGCTGAGCCGGCAGCCAAACAAACTGTGTTAATTAATATTACAGGAGGTGTGTGTGGAGACACAATACCTCGGGTGCAGTCTAAGAGCAGGCTAGCTATTATTTCTTCATCTGAGGGACTGTAGGTGCAGGTGCAGTTTGAATGTCGCTCAAGCTCGCGACAGATATGCCCATCTAGTTTACTACACATGTATTTAAAAGTGTTGCATTGATACATCTTGGGACATTAAATAACCAGGTCATCAAAAAACGAATAATGTGCTCAATCTGGTGTTTGGACATCTGTAGATATTTGTAGGTGATTGTACAATGTCACATAGTAAAGTGACAAACATGGCTTTACTTGTACACTGACCCACTTAGTACTTCTGTCTGTCAGTGTAGTTAGTGTTTTAAGGCACAAATGAAGGTTGTTGGTGGTAGAGAGAGTAAAGTGTTTTGTGGGAAAACATGCTGGGTTCAAACAGAGTAGTTCTAGACTCTGTTGTGTCGGTTGATCTACAGACATAGATTTTCCTATTATTATTGGTGTGTGGCAGACAAACGGTTACATCAGTACTGCTCAAGGGGAAAGTTTTGAAGCTAACAATACTAAAGTAGAACCACTCTTAAAGTTTAGCTCACCCTTGTATTTTAAAAAAGCTCACTCATGCTGAAAAAGAAGGGAAGAACAGGAGGGCTACTTTCATAACAAATGGTTCTCCATGAGCAATGGTGCACATATGCAGTGGTTACATGGCCCATCTGCTATAATCATTAAGAAGAGTTGATAGAGACAGATGGTAGATGAGAAATCATTAGAGTAGAGATTATGACCTCTTAGCATTAGCTGTTCAATCTCTGATCAAAGTAGGAGACCCTAGTGCATATTCAGATGAGTAAAAACACTTGGATGGAGAAAGGGTGTGATAGGATTTAGGTAGGCACTACCTAGAAAGTGTAGCACGGGGTAATTTGGTACAGGGTGGAGCTAAAACTGTACAGATAATCTACTTGTTCAATGGACCTAAGCCATCCATCTCTGTGAGAGTGGCCAAAAGGAGTTTTAACGCTGTTTGCTCAATACTGATAAACACAACAGAAGAGGTGCAAAAGCATTGATAGTGCAATTACATCCACCCACAACCTACACTAAACATGCAACCTTCTGACTAGCTCAGTGCAGGAACCATCTGAGAACAGATCCATGTTTTTCTCAGGGGCAGTGGCGTGCAGGGTCCGCAAGGTATAGTAGAATGTTACTAAAGATCGAACTAAACAACAGGGCACGTCGCAAAGAAGCAATGAGTTTCCGTTTTCATTCGGAAAAAATTACTGACGCTCCCTTTAATACCTACCAGGCAGGGGCGACGAGCATGCTCTTACACATACAACCTTGTGGTAAACATAGATTGGAGTCCCACGCAGCAGTGGAAAGCTAGAACTAGATTTGTGACATGATATACAACCATTTGACTAAAGACAAAAATGTGTGCCAGCCCTGAAATAACATTCCATCATTTTCTCCTCAGTTTGCTGGTGGTGCAGCGGGTGGTACAATAACACTTTGACAGGAGGAGACTAGCATGATTTTACACCCTTGAGCATAAAATTTTACCTGAACTTGTTGAGACATAAGCTGCTTTTTAGACTGCATTTGATTACCTGCAAGATGAAGATGATGGATATCATGTACAAACCGAGAGTTCGATCTACATCCCTAGCCAAACGATTCAACGAATACGACCGTTCCGGGTCATCTTTTGACGATTCCATGATTCAGCTCCTCTTCGCTATGGCGAAAGTGCAGGCGCCTGCCCCACCGGCATACAGAAGGGGGCGGAAGATCAGAGCCTAAAGCGATGCACTCCCGCGGCGTGTTCGGGTATCTGACGGACGGTTGGGGGACTCTGAAGACTACTGCGACAACGCTGAAACAACACAACATGCACCTCATCGTTAAAAAACATCATAAAATGTTGTATTAAACCGGAGAGGCCATGGCTAGTACTAGCCGGCCGAGATCGGAGAGGCTTGAAGTATCCACAGACGACTCTCAGCAAATCGCAGTAGAGTACTGTTAGGTACTGGGAAGAAGTTGGACGATTTAAATGCCCGCTCGCAGAATGGCATCGGACAGGAAAACTGCGAGTAGTATTATACAGTCTCGCAGCTGCACACCTATATAAGGCTGGAATTACTTACACTCGAGCGCGCATAATTGATTTACGCGCCCCCGTAATCGGTTAGCTTAGCTAGACTAGACACCACACCCACTGCATGCACTGGGCATGTGCGCATGCCTAACCACGTGTCAGCCGGACAGTATATCAGTACAGACGGGTGGTGGAGACGGGATGGCTCGATTGGGAGGCGAAGGAGCTTCTCACTCGGGATATTGTGAATCGGGTGAATCACACAGAGATTGTCCTTCAGCCTCACGCTCCGGTGTTATAATTGTCGGGGCAACCGCTGGGACAATTGGAAATGCAGAGGGAGTTGTGACCACGACAGTGAGCTATGTACATACCGTGCATGTGTGCGCGTTCACAGAAAAGGAGGAAGTCAACTGCACTTGAGATGCCAGGCTCGGTCTTTGCCGCCGACTGGCGGGTGCGTCACAACTCTGTGTAATGCTGTAGATAGCGTCTGGGTCAGATGATGACCTGTCACTTGTACTGTCGATAAGAGTGCGCAGAAGTTTTAACTCATGAAAAAGCCTAGTTCACGTGGTCAAGTCATGACAAAAAGGAGGATGTAGGGATGGTCACAGATCACTATAGTAGCGTGTGTTGTCTTGGCACCATTTTTTTGTCTTCATTCGCTGTGAAGACAGGGCCAACCGTAAGTGATGCACTGCTTGCTAATCTGCTAAACCTTTTGTGTCAAGTCTAGGTCATGGTTTCTGTAGATACCACTTAGGCAAGGCGTATGAACATAACCAGTATGTTATTTCTTGCCTCTCTTTAACATTGACCTAAAACTTTAACAGTCTTCTAGTGAACACTCCAAATGAGCTGTATCTGAGCTCCAGCAGATGTTGAATGTGAGCACCCACGGTTGTATCTCAAGAGCAGGAAGAAATACGGAAAATGGCAGCTGAAGAGGTGGAAGGAAATGTCAGCAAAGAGGTGTTTCAGCTCCTATAGTACACTCAACACACTCGGTCTTCAGCTCAGCCAGGCCACACCCAGCAGACATCGTAAGAGGCTAGCATCTCTGGCCGGATAAGTGCAGTTTCTGCTCGTTTCTAACCCAAGTACAAGTAGCTTTCGCTTGCCGCCACGTGCTGCCCTCTATATTTGCACTCCAAGAATGCAGAATTCTACAATTATTATGTGATGGCAAACCTCTGTTGAATGTAGACCTAATTCCATGATTGCTAGCTCTGCTCCTGATAAACTTTCAATCAGATGGCAGTTTGAGGAAGAGAACTCATGTGTGCCTTTGTGATAAGTCATTGTTCCCTTTTGTGCCTACCTGGATCTTTTTTGGTTGACCACACATTTATATGATGGTATTATACATGTGTACTACTAGGCATAAAGGAGTTTTGAACTGAAACTCTCTTTTAGTGCCTTGTAGTTCCTGTGCATGGCTAAGTATTGTTTTACCTTAGAAGTGGAAGGGATTGTTGTCCCTCAATTCCATGTATATATACACGGCAGAGGTCTAAGTCAGCATTACTGGAAAGGCTGTAGGTTGATATTGGCATTGAAAGGGCTACTGTTCATGAATAGGGTTAGTGTACTCACTTCTAGTAACTCCAATGGACAAAGTGTGCCAGGTATATATAGCTGTCTTTCTGTGGTTGTTAAGTAAACTGTTGTGGGCAATAAACCCTTTTCCATGCAAATGCAGGTTTCGTAGTAATTCTATATACTATTATAATTATTCTTCCATAGGATGTCTCTCTCTTCCCCAACCAACATATGACCTAGCACCATGTGTAGTCCAGTGTGAGAAACTGAGCTCCCTGCAGCTGGAAGGGGTACTCTATGCCTGCCAGAGACACCTCACTCTCCTGCCAGATGGTAGACGTGGTGCCTTTTTCATAGGAGATGGGGCTGGTGTTGGCAAGGGAAGACAGGTTAGTGTATTGATATTAGCTGGGTAAGTGCATTTCATAGCTTGACACATGTTTCAGCTACTCATTCATCCACTATTAGACATGATCAAGGTTGTAGAAACTCAGGTGTTTGGTGTCCTCTGACTCTGCAACATAATTTAGATGCCTAAATATATTTTAGTTTTATATTGGCTTGAAGATTGAATTATAAGAGGACAAGCTCAAATAAGTGTAACTTTAGTTAAATTGTTGCATTCCTGCTTACCATGAGTATCACCTTACCATGGCTCCGTTTGGATGGTTACATATGAGTTTGAGTAGCATCTTACAACACTCCTCTGGTCAAGGGCCAAGTAACCCCAATTTCCACTCCTACATATAGCTGAATTATTTTGGAGAACTATGTTAGAGGAAGGTGTAGCATATCTGGTTCAGTGTGTCACATGACCTCAAGATGGACGCAGAGGTATGTGTACTAGTTTACGTAGAGCCTTGTTGCAACTATACTGCAGGAATTATTGATCATTACTACGTATTTCCAGTTAGTTGGGGCTCAAAAGTGACAACAAGCCTAGTGCGTCCTGTAAATATTCTGTAACCTTGGAGCGGTTTAAAGGTCGTTGTGGTAGAGTGGCGATAAGAGGGACTGAATAGCACAGTAATGCAACAGTATGACTTTATAGGATTCCTAATAAGGTGGCGTAGTTCTACATATACTAGAGACAGGGTGTTTACACACACGGAAGTGTTATTAATGACTCCTGACAAAAGAGCTACCCCTGCTCTACCCCACAGTGCTCTACTACTGGGCATCTCAGCAGGCTAGGCTCGAAGTATGCATAAAACAGAAGGCAGTGGGAACCCCCAACTCTATGTCATGGCAGGAAACCTGTTACTTTGTATATAGGAGGCTAACCAAGATAATTAACACAAAAGATACACCACTCCAGTTAAGTACATTCATGATAGACTTACATTATTATAAGAGCTTAGTGGCATACATGGAGGGAAGGGACCGGAGTTCCTTCTGTGTGATGATGAGTGTGAAAGTGTGCGTGTGTGAGTCACATTTTTGCTGTGAGTGTCCAGCCTTAGGAGGAAAGTCTGGCAGAACGTGCTCTGTAAGGTAGGAGGAGATTGTGGGTCTCATTCCAAGACCACCACTCCACATATATTATAAGAAAAAGAGGGACTAAAGAATGCGTTTGGTTTCTTTCATAGAGATTTGAGAGATATTGGGTGCTATATAAAAATGATAGATGGCTGTCAGCAATTAGACAAAGAAACCAGGTTTGTAACAATCATGATTGCTTAAGGACCTAATAACAATGCACCATTATATACCCTAGGATACTTGGTCTCCCACCTGACTTTAAGGAAGGTGTATTGTTCTCTACATATGCCACCCTTGTTAGTACACTTCATAAAGGTAAGGTTAGTGTGCATCTGTCCTCATTGTGTCCCAAATGGAGTGCACACTTTACTGTGCGTACAATTGCAATTGTATAAGCCAATTATGCTATATACATGCAGGGACATGCCAGATTTTAATACTTTCGTGTCCTCAGTGCAGCAAGGGCACTACACAGGCGGCCCAAGGTTCATTAAAATCTGGACATACTCACTGATGTTGCATGGCCTAGCGGAAATATTATGTAATGTTTTTTCTTCTTTTCGTTGCCGGTGCTAGATTTGGTCTTAACCTCACCTACCTCAGTTATTTATTCCTGATGTGTCTTAATACAATGTGAGGATTGCGATATTTACAATTTGTACTACACTATGTTTTTAAGCGCATTGATATTGTGCAAGCTAAGTTTCACTTGGTCAGGAGACCCTCAATGGCAATGGAAGTGAATGTGTACAACAATCATACACACAAGGTGTCACACAAATGGAAGAATGTAGAGAGAGATTGAAATTAGGGGAAGCGGCTGGAAAGTTTCAATGCACAAATCATTATATGCTGTATATATCAGGGTTTTTAATACGGTTTTCAGATTAGGAAAACATTGTAGTAAATCGTACTAGGACAAAGGGTAAGCACAGTACACAGACAATCAAAAGCGTTTTTTTTTCACAATCTCCACGTAATGGGCATTGATTGTGGCATGCTAGAGTTGAGCAGTGTGGCCTGCAAGTAGCACGGGATTGCTGAACCAGATGAGTGGTTGAGCTTGACAGCTATGTGTGGCATTTACAATTCCAGAGGCCAGTCTTGCAGTAGACTCCAGCAGCTTGTATCGTGGTGTGGGGAGAATCATTGACGGGTGCCTCGTGGTGACGAATGTCACAAGGCCAAGAACTTCAACCCTGGAAAGAGCAGCGCAGCACCAAAGTGGCCCTAGCTGTGTCTAATGGGCAGAAAATGCTTCCCGAGCAAGAGTTGCTGTACTGCAGTGCCACTGGTGTTAGCATGTCAAAAACATGGTGAGAGACTTGTGGTTCTGTTTTAAATGAACTGAATTTTTTGCATTGCAGGCATACATGGAGGGCTAGGGTTGTGGGGTGAAGGACTGTCATTTCCTAATTTTGAGAGTTTTCCTAGAGAGTGTCACTAGGAGAGGGCCTGGGTGCTGCTGAGATGCTAGCAATGAGATAAGTCAGCAGGAGTCTATGTGTCTAGGGGTCTAAGCTTACAAACAGGCAGAGGTACATATCCCATACAGGTGTATGTCACCACTGCCGTTTGTGTGAATCAGCTTCAGGCTAAAAGTGGTACTGGTGCTACAGGGGTGTTTTGGTATGGAGTAAATCCCTTTGGGTAGGGGAATTATTCACATTGCACCAGAATTGGTTTCTTTTACTGTAGTTTGTTACAAGAGAAGTCACTCTCAGTCCCAGTCAGACTTCAACCTATGACGCTGCTGCACATGTATGGTAAGCTTACGTTACACTGTGTAGTAACTTTCCCTGTGTACACCCTACAAATTGGCACTAAGCTGACTAGCTGCCTATAATTTGGGTGTTTTGAGACAACATATTATTACCCTCGGCGCGCATACGCAGGTAGGGTAGTGTAGTTGGGTTGTCTGTCTGTCTGTCTGTTACTCAACATCTCACTTCTCGAATGTTTTTTCGTCTCACAAACGGTACTACCTACTTAACGGGCAATGAAGGTCAGAAATTTGTGCGATTTTCTCTGAAAATGCACCGTTGCAAAGCTAGAGTGCTCCCAGCATTGTACGGCTAGTCGCCTAGTTGCCCATTTTTACTCTGCGGGAACGCGCATGCGCATTATACTAGACCAAGTGGTGGAAAGCGACCATTTGTTTTCTGTTCGGTGAGCCAGTTGTGTGAGTTGCTCTTTGCAGTTACTATCATGCCTCCGAGTAAGGTATGCCCACAGTGTGAAACTATTGTACCAAAGGCTGAAAGTGTGTAAATCTGGCAAGTCCTAAACTGTTCGCTAAACTGTTCATCAAGGGGAAAACAGATTAAGTATTTTCACTGCGTGCATATGGACACATATTACGTGCAATAACTAACACAACAAGACACCATCGAAGTAAAAAATTGCTTTTTTCTCCTCCTTTTGACTTAAAATTGAATAAATTCCATCTCGTTACCAGCATTCAACGCAACTATCATACATGTGTTTGTAACCATTTTCGGCCTTCATAATTGCAAAGTTACACGAAGGACAAATATGAAGTCGCATTATAATAACGTAACCATTGATGCAGCTACCGGGCATGAACCTTTCACTATATTATACCAGCAAGAAAAGCCATGGCTTGGGCTATGTTATCAATTAGTGGTACCACGCATGCATAGTTCACCGAGGGTTTGCACTTTAGTGCTTTTCATATTATTATGGTCTTGTTCCTGCAGGAATGAGCTCCGAAAATCCCTGGCAGTAGCCTTATCTCGTGTGGGTGCTCCTACGCAGAGGGTGTGGGCAACGTTCTGGTCGGCACATCAGAGGTTTTTCAAGCTGTTATGGTTTGTATTACCCTATGTACTATAATAAAAGCAAACGCACTAAGGTTGCAAGCAAACAGTTCAATGTTTTTCCAAGGAAAAAAAGAGCTGTACAAGTTTGTTTTGGAGAACCCGTGACACTCTGCAGTGTAGGCAGAGCACTCTTGCCACGGGGCTACCAGGGCAACTCAGCAGGCATGGGCACAAATCTACAACACTATACAACACATGGCAAAGGCAAAGCTCAACGATGGTGCTACTGGCACATTACACCCTCACTGTTTGTAGGAGAAGACCGGTGCATTTATATAACCAAGTCTGTGCATGTAAGGGTAAACAGTTAAAAGGGTTTGTAAAGCGGAAATACTACGTATTAATTGCGGCTACTAATTTTAGCGTTTTTGCACAGATCATTTTTGGCGTATATTAATTTTAGCGATTTTTGTCCCCACATAATTTTGTGTACAATAATTTATGATGACAACCAGTCAAAGTTTGTGCGTGTATCCAATTTAATTTGTGCTCCAGCTGACCCAAAGTAAACCAAAAAGCAAGGCCTTCTTTTTGTTTCCAGTATAAACAAACCACGTGAAACTACGTGTATAGCGGGTCCACTGAACACGCGGAAATTACGCGGTATTGCACGCGCAAGGCTCACTACATTGCACACACATAATTTAGCGATTTTGATGATTCTCGCTAAAGTTCGTTAAAATGAGTAGCCGCATAATAGTATCCTGTAAGGTAGCAGACCATGTGCCTGGTAAGTCCAAGGAATCATATCGGGGCGGCACAAGCAGGAAGGTCACAGTGTGTTTATATGCAGCTTGATAGTACACAATTTGTTGCATTATGCTAAGTTCAAAATTTCTCAGTCTTTGCTCTCTCTCTATTGTGAGTGCTAAACTTACCCCATTCATCGCTAACTGTTTTCTTTCAGTATGTGTATGAAAGTGCCTGCTATTGTTGAGGAGATCAAGAAGGCTCTTTCTCAAGATATGTGCGTTGTCATTGGTCTACAGACTACTGGAGAGGTGCAAAATTGTATGTGATCATTATGCATGCATTATTTCAGGTGTTTGCTCATTAACAATCTGTGATAGTGTGGTTTGTGTGTGTTATGTGAATTGCCACTTCGCACATCACTCCATTGCCATATGGCACCTAAAGTGATGTGCAATTGCTTACTTGATGTGTGGTGATGTTTTGACAGTGTACATATAAAGGCCATTTACATGTAACTTGATCATGGTTTGCATTGAGTTGTGTGTATGTCCGTCACGTTACTAACATGTAGAGAGGACAAGGATAGGTCCAAGTGTACATAGTGACTTTTTGTCAACATTGATTTTCATAGTACAACCGATGAAAGTGTCTGTTATCAGTGAGCGGAAGCAAGCCAACCTTGTGAGCAACTGGCAAAAAATGTCTATACCAGAACAAATGGGACACATGTTTAAGTGGCAAATATTTTTGCATGTGTTTTGCGCGTGTGTTTAGAATCACGTAGAACGTTATGGTAGGTGAGGAGCGGTGAAGGTCACAATATAAAAATTATAAACAAAATCCCTAATTCGAATGACTAAATGGGCTCGTTTCACTCGCCAAGTATGTATTGTCAAATATCCTGTATAGGTCAGTGTGGCTAGGGACTTGACAACTTGTAAGTATACAACTCAAACCCTTTTTCCGAGGTCCAAGACTTGGATTTTTTCTTGCACCGATTACCAATCCATAATTATAAGGAGGTTGCACCACATACATCAGAACACCGAGTGACGCCACTGGCAATGCTCGAGTTGAAGTCACCACTTTTCACGCCAGAAGCTTTTTAACCCTCGGCGCGCATGCGCAGCGAGGGTTACAGTACTTGGTTTGTCTGTCTGTCTGTCTGTCCGTCTGTTACCACGTTTTCAGCTACCACGCGCAACAAACAGGTAAAATAGCGACACCAACGGGTTCAGCGCTACACTGGCTTGATTTTAAAAATGGCGATTTTCGTAAAGTTCCGCGTTCAGAAGTTATGGAGAGTCTGGCACGGGCTAGCTACGGTAGTAAATAGCATGCGGGAATCGATACATGCCCTTCGTTGTGACTTGTTGTGCCTTCAAGACACACAGAGCGAACGGACGCGGTCGAGGTAAGCCTGTGCTAATTTACATATTGGCTTGTTCACTTGGTTTTCACGCCATAACTTTAAAACACAGTAGTTTTACGAAAATCGCCTTTTTAAAAATGAAACCAAGTGTAGCACTCAACCCGATCATATCGCTATTTACCTGATTTCGTGTGCGCGGTGGCAGAAAACGTGGTAACAGACAGACTGACAGACGGACAGACTGACAGACACACTTACGGGACAACTACCGTAACCCTCGCTGCGCATGCGCGCCGAGGGTTAACAAGCCAATATGCTAATTAGCACTAGCTTACCTCGACCTGATCCGCTTGCTCTGTGTACCTTGGAGGCACAAGAAGTCACAACGAAGGGCGTGTATCGACTCCCGCATGCTATCTACTACTGTAGCTAGCCCGTGTCAGACTCTCCGCGAGCTACTTCAGGAGATCACGGGTAAACGCAGACTAATACGTAGGCCCTGCCCATTAATTAGAGGTATCGCGCATGCGCAGTTCGCCGAGGGTTTGCACTTTAGTACTTTTCATTTATCCGGTAAGGTGTGCTCACACTGCTAGTTTGCGTATCAGTATCCTGGTTCTTGAAGGAAGCACACCCTCAACTGTATAGACTTAGTTTTCCAGAGTTGAGCACTCAATTTGCATGTCTCAGGGTGATGACAGTGTACTTGGCTTTCGGTCTCTCTGTTTATTAACCCTTGGCGCGCATTCACAGCGAGGGTTATAGTACTTCGTTTGTGATTCCTTCTGTCCTTCTGTCCGTCTCTCTGTCTGTCTGTTGTAACCACGTTTTATGCCACCACGCGCAACAGACCGGCCAAATTGTGACACCAACGAGTTCAGCGCTACATTGGCTTCATTTTAAAAATGGTGATTTTCGTAAAAGTGCTGCATTCGAGAGTTATGGCGTGAAAACCAAACAAGCCAATCTGCTAATTAGCACAGGCTTACCTCGACTGGGTCCACTTGCTCTGTGTATATTGAAGGCACAAGAAGTCACCCAGTAAGCATGCAACTGATACTCTGACTGACAAAAAAATTGTTAAATGGGCCATGCTTATATATGTGTTATTCGCTTGTTTCAAGTACATAAGTTAGACCCTTGAGGACGCAGCGTAAATTCAGAATCCCGAGGGCGGAGCTGTGGTGTCCCTAGCGCCGTGAGGGCACTGCATCGCCCGAGGGTTTCTGAATTTTACGTAGGTCCAGAGCCTTGTCTACCCCGTTTAGTGCAGAGCATGAGCGCGTAAAAGCTATATTTCCATGGCGGATTTTCAAATGACTCCCAAAGCTCGCACAAACAGTTCGGAAAAGGAACTAAGTGACTTGCTGCACCCGGACCCTGTAGAAATTTACAGAGACACCAGCGAAGGGTTCCAGATATCATTCTAGACGACCTATTTAGTGCTGCCTACGACGACTACTGTAACGAACCAGAACTTGCAGACTCTTTTTTCTATCAACTGACCACTCACCCGCGAAGGTGCCCCCTGGATTAGAATGCTCAAGAGGACACATCATAAAGCATTCATTTTTATCCTGATGCTAAATGAGGCATTCTAATCTCTGTTTGTTATGGTTGACCCAAGACAACATGGCAACTATCGTAGACCTTAATCTTTGAAACTTGGTAAAATGGGGAGAGAATGCCTGGACAATTATTTAATGTGCTCTGCAACATGATGATTAGGTATTGATTTTAAAACACTTATGTGTATTTGTACACTATGAGTAAAAAACGTGTCGGATATTCTATTTTTATCATGTATCCAACAGTCCAGCCTTGAGAGTGAGATGGAAGCCAACAAGGGAGAACCGGATGGTTTTGTTTCAATCTGCAGAGAGATACTGCAGCGCTTTGTGAGGGATCACTTCCCTACTACCACTACGCTTACCGACACCCCACAGGTGACTCTTAACGGTACATTATATTATGTTAGTCTTGGATTCTTATCTGAATTCTGTTATAATGCCACATTTTGTCTTAGTTGAATGTAGTGGCAATGAGAATTGGCTTTAGAATAATAGTCCATGAAATGGATATTTGTGTAAAAAGGACGATTGTGGAAGATGCTCTGGTTTTAGAATCAATTCGGCACCATAAAATAATTTGTGAATATTGGTTTGTGGTGTGTTTGGGTATAGCATTTTGTGGATCTGTTGGTTAATTACCTGCAGCTGATATTGGCTTTTTGATATTCTACTTTTATGTGTTATTACCCCACCCACCTATGCACAGCAGGTATATTGCGGTGTTGGTGTCTGTAATTATAATGTACTAATACTGGTGGAAATGTTGAACATTGTTGGCGAGCGGGAGCGACCCAACTTGGGATTTGCCCGCGATGTTCGGGCTGCATAACGTGCCGTCAGCGCACAGCTTTCCTTTCGCGAAGCAAGACAGATCTACCTGTCACCGTTACATGTGTATTGTACATTGGCAGAACGGTGAGCAGGTGAGCAGAAACGGTACTTGCCTTACACTTTCAGCTCGTCAGTCGTGGTCACCAGGCAGCTGGCATGCAGCAGTATGTGCACAAGCAATCCTGGTGTATTTGGCAAGTTGCACCTGGAAACCATGAAAATTGGGAAAGAGGTACAAGCCTCGTCAGTCACCGAAGGTTGCAGCGCATGCCGTCGAATGGAGGAGAGTCGGCTAGATCGGTCGGCGCATATCGCGAGGCACCGTGTGTGGAAAGTGTGTAAAAAATTGGAAATAGTTTCGATAAAAAGAAGCGCGTACAAAGCCGTGCATGTGCACTTACACGACGTTACGAACGATATATATATATATATTACCGAAATATCCGCTCGAATGAACGACTAGGTGGCTCGCTCCCGCTGCGCCAATAGTATTATATCTGGTCGAAACATTTCTGGATGCGACTTTACTAAAGATCTAGACTTATCATTTTAACATTGGATAGGGGAACATTCTTCGATTTCTTACAATCTCAGAAATGTTTGCGTTTGCTGTAATTGATGGTACCTCGTTTATGGCACACTGCTCGAGGCAAAAATACAGTTGGTAGTCATCAGCCTGGGACCACTGGTGTTTTTCACGTGCAACTGGTGTTGCGCTTAAATCACATGGTTTCAATCAACCGCACGTGTGCGACGTTAGCAACGCCCGTCTGTAGTTTCCATAGAGTTTGTTTTACATATATTTTGGAATGCAGTTATGGAACTTGCAGAGAAGCAGCACAAAATATTTCCGATAATGTGCATAGTGTAATTAACCCTTGGCGCGCATGCGCAGCGAGGGTTACACTACTTGGTCCGTCTGTCTGTCTGTTACCACGTTTTCTGCCACCACGTCCAACAAACAGGTAATAAAGCGACACCAACGGGTTCAGCGCTGCATTGGCTTTCATTCAAAAATGGCGGTTTTCGTAAAAGTGCCGTGTTCAGAAATTATGGCGTGAAAACCGAGTGCCAATATGCAAATTAGCACAGGCTTACCTCGACCGGGTCCGCTTGCTCTGTGTACCTTGGAGGCACAAGAAGTCACACGAATGGCGTGTATCGACTCCCGCATGTTATCTACTACTGTAGATAGCATGTGTTAGACTCTCCGCGGGCTACTCTAGCGGGAGACCACGAGTAAACGTATACTAATAGCCCAGCCCATCTATTAGCGGTGTCACGCATGCGCAGTCGGCCGAGGGTTTGCACTTCAGTCCTTTTCATTGTATACTGCGCCTAGATATGTTTTTCTTAGCAACGCCCAAAACGACCGTGCGGTTTATGCATGCATTATTGTCACACCTGTCAAAAGCAACACAATGTTTTTCAAACGTTAGTTCAACAACTATTTTTTCCTGTGGATTCCCCCAGAGGTGCATAGTCTCATTAATGGCAAGTGTCAGTGACAATGTGCTGAAACTTCATCTCAAAAAGTTGAGTATTGCGCAAAGGTTTGCAAGCCAATGAAACGGCATATTTGTGTCATGAAAATACGGAACTACTGAAAACATTCAACATTGATACTACGTACATCAGACCAAAAACATCCAAAGGCGTATTGCCACAAGTGTCACAAAATTGCCAACAAGATCTTGAGTGGACAGAGGGGGGCTGTGGTTTAGACAGCAGTCGTGCCAGTAGACTGGGAGTGTCATGAAGCTGACTGCTGGGGGAAAGTGGAGAAACCGAAAAAGGCTACAAAGAAGTGAGGGAGACCAAAGGACAAAAGTGGCAAGGGAATAGCCAACTCTGTTCCAAAAACTACTCCCACAAGTTGGTGAGCATTGCAGCCTCTCTCTCTCGATTTCTCCCACCGGCTTCTTCTCTCTCCTTGCACGACCTTCACTGCAAACTGTGCGAATGCATTGTAGATCGACCTGTCAAGACACCGTGCAGCAATCTTGCATGCGCCGAGGACATTAGTAGCCTAGTCTTCAATGCCGAGTCAAGTCTTCAGTGCCCATGCTGCGGGGAATGTCGTGAACTCTCCCCCACAAATCTTACAGTATAGCTATGATTCCTTGGTATTTACTATTATGTACATGTGTGTTTTAGGACGGCATCCCTGTTTATGGTGTAACTCGGAACAAATGAAGCTTCCCAGAGGAGCATCCAGCAGTCTCACCGTGTACCTTGGATACACTACAGGAAGACCTCCTCTTTCAAACAGCTGGAAATGGAGATCTCAAACAGGCAAAGAAATTCAACACTGTAATTGACCAATACTTCAAGACACAGGTTACAACTGCAACCTAACTAATGCACAATC